GGCTGCCTGGTCGTGCGGTTTGCACGCTGGACTGTCAAGCCCTTCCTGCTCCCCCCCCCCCCTTTTTCGTCCTACGGGAGGTTTGGACTAAGAAGTAAACTATCTTCAACTCTGAAGGAACATCAGAAACATATAAAACATTTTACAAACACTAAATAGCAGCGCCGGACTTAACCATTCTTATTTTATCTTATATAATACAGACGTTACTTCAAAAAAGAAGATGATTTCGTCCTACGCGTCATGCATTTAGTCATGCATATTAACCAATGACTTAAATTCTGCCAAGTCACTGGTTTTCCTGGCTAGCTCAGGCAACCCATTCCATGTTCTAATAGCACTAGGGAAGAAGGAGTATTTGTACAAATTTGTCCTAGCATATGGGACGAGGAATGTACATTTATCTTTGTGTCTTTCTGAGTATTTTATTAAATTTTGTTTTTGTATTTGAAGATTATGGTTCAGTGTTTTATGTATAAATGCTACTTTACTTTCGAATCTTCTGTCCTGAAGGCTTTCTAAGTTTAGTGATTTTACTAAAGGTGTTACTCTAGTCAAATGTGAATATTCGTTTGTTATGAATCTCACTGCTCTATTTTGTGTCTGTTCCAGTTTCTTAATGTTTTCTTGAGTTGAGTGCTCCCAAACGGAGGATGCATATTCTATTATTGGCCTAACCAAGGTTAAATAACATTTTAGTTTTATGTTCTTATTTGATTTATAGAAATTTCTTTTAATAAACCCTAATGCTTTGTTGGATTTTTTAAATAGTTTCGTCAATATGTGGATTCCATGACAGTTTTTCATTTACTATAACACCTAGGTATTTTGCGTTTTTAGTCTGTGTTACTGGTTTTCCATAAGAAGTCATGGAAAGAGAAGAACTAATCTGCTATGTATATTCACCCGTCACTAAATAGCAGGGCCGGACTTAATCGTTGTGGGGCCCTATGCGAAACGGATTTCGCGGGGCCAAGTTTGGGTAGGAAAGCGGATAATAAGTGAAATTTAAGAGTTTGTGTTAGAAAATAAATTTGTCTATGCATTTTATTCATTCTTTACTACGTACAGAATTACTTTACGAGCCTTGCGTGTAGCAAAGTCATACAGTATATCATAATAATTCTGTCTCCTACGTAGATCAGGCTCAATAGCAAGAATTACCAAATGTTTTAATCTATCTTTGAGAATTGTTGACCTCAAGTAGTTCTTCATTAGCTTGAGGCGCGAGATGCTTCTTCCACCAGATTACACAATTATGTCTAATGCATAATGTCGTTTTTATTTATCGCGCGTAGGGTTGGCGTTATCCATATTTAATGACACCCAAATTGACAATTTTTGTCTATATATTCCGTATATTTCAAGGACTTTTGCAATTTCGGGAGATTTCCAGGACCTCCTGGTAAATTGACAGGAGGGCGCGGGAAATCTGTTTTAAGTTATAAAATGGTTTAATTTAATAATTTATACACCTTGAATTAGCGCGGGTCCTATGAAAGTGCGGGGCCCACTGCGGTCGCATAGGTTGCAGTGGCCTAAGGCCGGCCATGCAAAATAGCGGCGTATACTACGCAGCCGGCCCACTAGTATAAATAAAGGAGTAACCGATTAGCTAATTAACCATTGGTAATTAATTATTTTGTTTGGTATCTCGAACAGGGGAAAGAAACTGTACCTGACAGAAGTGGTGGAATAAGCTGAATTAATCCCCTTTATAGTCGCGGCTCTCTATTGAAACAAACAATAAATAGCTATGCAATCGTCATTATCATAAGTACCTTACAGAGTGGTTAGCACGTCGGCCCCAGGAGCCATGAGCCACGAGTTCGAATTCAGGTTAAGCTCTGATTAACGTGGTACTGAATTCTTCCACGTCTCCATGTAGGGTCATATGGTGATTGGAAATAGACCATGTGTCCAGTTTTCAGCTGACTCAAATTTCTTGCCTTCTGCTTTGTAACAAATGTGTCTTCTTGTCTGGCGTTTTTCTTATGATGATGTTTTCTTGATACCGTAAGTAGAAATCTTTGAGTACATTCCCTCAAACAAATGAAGACAGGTCAAGCTGCTGGAATTGACAACATACCACCCGAAGTCCTAAAAGAAGGAGGAAGTGAAATAGTTGACCAAATGCACAAGCTATTCAACAAAATTTGGTTAACAGAAACACCTGCGGGTGAGTGGAAAAAGGGGCTTGCTAATAAAAATACCAAAGAGTGGAGATCTATCACAATGTGAGAAATGGCGAGGCATCAATTTGCTGTCAGTACCAAGCAAGATTTTCAGCAGAATCCTACTAAACAGAATAATGGGAGCATGTGATGAACACCTAAGGGAAGAACAGGCCGGATTCAGAAAAGGGAGATCTTGTGCTGACCAAATAGCTACACTCAGAATAATTGTAGAACAATGTGTCGAATGGTAATCTCCTCTCTATGCAACTTTTGTCGACTTTGAAAAAGCTTTTGATAGTGTCGACAGAGAATCTATCTGGACTGTAATGAGACATTATGGGATCCCCAATAAAATAATAACCACAATCAAGAACCTTTATGGTGGTTTCACCTGCCAAGTAACCCACTTTGGCAAGCTGTCAGAGGAATTTCCAGTCACAACAGGAGTCAAACAGAGATGTCTTCTTTCACCACTCCTGTTCCTTCTAGTATTGGATTGGGTCACAAAAGAAGCCTACCATAAGGCAGGGAAAGGAATCCAATGGACTCTCACACAAAAGCTGGAAGATCTGGAATTCGCTGATGACATAGCCCTATTATCACACAGACTACAGGATATGCAAGAAAAGGTCACAGCTTTAAGCGAAGTAGGAAAAAGAGTGGGCCTCAAAATAAGCCACCATAAAACTAAAGTACTTAAAGTAAACAATAAACAAATTGAATACATAGTACTGGATTCTCAGACAATAGACCAAGTAGAAAATTGTATATACCTTGGGAGTGTAGTCAGTATATCAGGTGGAACAGATGAAGACATTAAACGCCGTATAAATCTAGCGCGTCAGACATTTACACAGCTAAAACCAACCTGGAAATCTCCTCACATCTTAAACAAGACTAAACTAAAAATCTTTAACTCTAATGTCAAGGCTGTCCTACTGTCAAGGTTCTGAAACATGGAGAACAACTGAAGCCACAACAACAAAAAAAATACAGACCTTCATCAACAGATGCCTGAGAAATATCCTAAAAATACACTGGTATGACAAAGTAGAAAACACCAAACTGTGGGAGATGAGTGGACAGAAAAATATAGAAGTGCAGATCTTAGAGAGGAAGTGGAGATGGATTGGTCATACCCTTAGAAAAATACCAGAAACAGAGCTAGGCAGGCCTTAGAGTGGAACCCCCCAGGGAACAAGACGCAGAGGAAGACCAAAAAGAACATGGCGACGCAGTGTACTTGAAGAAGCAGAGAAGACCGGGAAGAGCTGGGAAACCATCAAAAAGCTAGAAAGAGACCGTGGAGAGTGGCCCTATGTTCCATGAGGAACTCAAAGGAATGATGATGATAAGTAGAAATCTTAATGCTACTCTTTTTGCTTTATATCAGCGTTCAGGTCATCCGACCATCAAACTTCTGAGCTGAGCTTAGATTTATGTCTTGCCTTGAAGTATTTCTAAATTCCAAGAGAGCTTCATAAGCATCTGACTTTTCTTCATTATTTTAAATGCTGACACAGCTTTTCCTTTGGATTGATGGTGTCTTGGGGAGGATTTCAAATGAGCTACTCCCAATTCCATCAAAAATTATAAAAATATTCCGAAGAAAACTGTTATCAGAAATTTAGACTTTGGGCAGCCCATATCTTGCAAACAAGACTTTCAGTTTCTTTATAGTTGCGTGTGTTGTTGTCGACTGCATGTTTTATACCTTTCTTCTCTCTGATTCGATTTTCTGACAAATGTAACATGAGTTGGCTATTTCCTTTATTCGAGCTGATAATCCAGGCCAGAAAACTGTTTCTTTCGCTCTTCTTTTCATCGAGTCAAATCCCAGGTGTGCTGCATGGAGTTTTTCTTCTATTTCCTTGCAAAGTGATATCGGTGTGATTATTTGTTCTCCTTTCAACAAGAGTCCGTCTTCGTATGTTAACATGTCTCTTAGTGGAAAATATTGTTTGAGCTCAGGTAGACCACTGTGTTTGTCGGGGCGGATGGCGATATACTGAATCAGTGTTTACATCGTTCTGTCTTTCTCCAGCACAGCATCTGGTGTTGCCAGTCCTGATGTATTGACACAAACATTCTTTTCCACTGATGGGTCTATACTCAAAGTGTCAGCAATAAGTTTTGACATTTGATACATTGAAACTGAATATCGTAGAGCTAAAGACGCATCATTATACTTTGTAGCCTTCTCGGAGCGGAACTGTTTTTTTTTTTTTTAAAGGGGCCGGGGGGGATATGGTAATTCTGAACAATTACTGTTCGTCCATATGTATGCTGGTCAAAACGTTTCCAATAAGACCACTGCCAACAATTCTTTTTCAATCTGTGCACATCTTTTCTGTGTATCTGTTAAAGATCTTGCAATTGGACTGCTGATACGGCAGCTGTTCCCAAAACATTGATATAGGTCTAATCAAGGTTAAATTACATTTTAAAGTTCTTTTTTTTTTATTTCTACAAATTTCTCTTAATGATAGACCAATATATTGGAGAGTTTCATGCATGGAGGAAAACCTAAAAATAGCAAGCTTTTTTTATTTTTTTTTTGTGTGTGTGTATCCGGTGTACAAATTAAAGGCAGTGTCGAAAAGCAACAAGTAGGCTAAAAGTTATATGCAATGTATAGAACTAAAAGTCACATTTTTCTCGTTGCTAAAGATTTACAAAGTTGCTGGAGGTGGCTGATGGAAATAAAACTTCACTACAAAGTATCTTGTGTTTACATAAATACTGGATGGCCATTATGTGCTCTTTCACAAACAACTGACATCTGATCTAGTTCAATAATTAATTTATTGAAAAAAAAAAAAAAGGCCTTAAGAAATGTACTTCTATAAAATTGGATTTTATTTCAATTAGACTTGTCTCTTTCCGCTCATCAAGTTAACAATGATCTCTGAGATGACTTCCAGCACTTGCTTTTCACACACAAAAATCAGTCTCTATAGTACTTACTAAATAAAGGAAAGGCCTTCCTCGCCCATGAACAGTGCATCAATGATACAGCCAAGGAGAGAATTAAAACATAATTGTTTGCAATTGCCAAAAAAAAAAAAAAAAAAAAAACCAGAAAACTAGGTTTAAGTGTAGATTGAGTCAGAAAGTGCTGCCTTTAAATAAAGAGATTTCTGCCAAGCTGACAATGTAAGCCTGGGTTCAAAATATGAATGCAAAATGGTGTTTCCATCCTGACATTCAAACAGAAATATACTGACATACAAATTCAAAGGTAAACTAAAAATCTGCTTTTTTTTTTTTAGTTAAGGTTTCAATAACTGTAGAAGTTATTTTGACTGTTAATTATTTAAGCAGTAGTGTAGCTTTCTTTCACACATTAGTCAAACATTGTTTACAATAAAATAAAAAGATCCTTCCTGGCTGAGGATACCTCTCAAAGTACATAAGAGGCAGCAAGCAGGCCCGAGCTAAAGTGCTGATTTGAGCACATATATGAATGAAGGAACTTCTTACCAACAGGAGTAGAAAAGTATCTGTGTAAATGTCACAGCCACCCTAAACAGAACCAGTCCAGGGTGATGAATATTATAAGTATCTTTCAATTTTAATCAATCTGAATTGATACATTTCCCAAACACTTGTCAGTGACGCTATAGAAATATTCATCCAAGTTTTCAAATGAATTTTGGTGTGGAACCAAACGTTTGTAATCTTATATTAGACATTGACAAGTAGAATGACTTGATGATTTAAATCAACATCCAGGACTTATAGTGCAGAGGACTCATATTGTATAGACCTAGATGTAAAGCTTTCTTGAATTACTGTTTAATATAAAATTGAAATGGAATAGTATGCAAATAAATCTATAAAACAACCGAGCAAAATAAGGAACACAAGCTTAGTGTTTGATAATGATTTATAGAACTAATCAATTTTAATTGGATTGTTATAGTCAAAGTGACTTGACACCAAACTAATCAATTTTAATTGGACTGTTATAGACATAAGGCTGAGTGACTTGACATCAAACAAGATCAACTAGTGTGGATAAAGTATTATTTCTACTGAATAACATTTGACGCCTCTGTGAAATTGAGCAAGTCAACACCTAGAGAACAACTCAACTGAAGTCTGACTGGCTAAGGCCATTTGAACCAAACAACTTACTTTGCTACTATATCAATGAATTTAAATGACCTTGATCAAATGTTGAAGTCAATGGCTCACTGATCAAATTGTAAACTCTATATGGTTTCTAAATTGAAAATCTTGAAATTTAGATGTGGAGGTTTTTTATTCTGGATTTGGTAGTGTCTATAAGTTTACCCAGCTATAATGGATACCAAACATTTTTTTTTAATCATAGCAGTTGCTCTATGTGCTGGACAGCCTAATTAAACATTAGCCATAGAGTCAAGGACTTCTAGGTCCAAAATGTAAACAGTGAACAAAATCTTCAATGGGGATTGGTAAATACAAAAATCAGCAAATGAAAAAAAAAAAAGATCAAACTGAATCAACACTTCAAGAAAAAACTGAGAAATGACGTTGAGTAGAAGTGTATCTACACCAGGCCCTGACTCAACTTTGGGTCAGGTTAGTAACATTTACACACACAAAAAACTTCTCAAAAAGAACATTTTCAACATTACATGTAATTTTAAGAAACAAAACGACAAGCAGAAAAAAAAAAATATTTAAAGTAACATCAAAGTATTACAAAGTTTTGGGAGTTTTTTGTTTGTTTTTCCAACAAAGAAATCAAAAGCATTTTTTTCTGACACCCCCCTCCCCCCCAAAATCAGCATTTTTTTAAATGGAAAAAAAATGATTTTATTATTATCCGTTTTCAGAAGAATGTTGAAATTTGATTTATTTTGCACATCCAATATGAAGCTATTAACGAATTTAAAAAAGACCTCTTTTAAATATCCGTTTCATTTTTATCTAGATTTACAGTCATTTTAATCAATCATTTAGATCTACCATGATTCTTGAATTTGATTACTTTTGATCTACTAGATCTAGACTTATTCTTGACTTTGGTTAGCTGCCAGGGCATGTAGTATGCACTTGAGACAGTCATTGTCTGAACGACAGTCCAGCGCGCAAACCACACGACCAGGCAACTGCTGACACAGCATTTCCATTGGATTGATGGTGTCTTGGAGAGGATTTCAAATGAGCCACTCCCAATTCCATCATAAATTAGAAAAATATTCCGAAGTAAATTGATTGATGTCCACTATCAGAAATTCAGACTTAGGGCAGCCTATATCTTGCAAATAAGACTTTCAGTTTCCATGTACTATGGATTCCTTATTAAATGTACAACAAAAAATTTAGCCTCACATGCATTTTGTGTGTAAGTTTGCAGTAAAGCTCATGTAGTGTTATTCATAAAATTATTTAAAGAAAATACTCAATACAAATAATATTTTTAAAATAAAAAAAAAAAAAAGAATTCAGCAACTCCTTATTTGGTCACCAAGCAACAAAAGTTTTGCTGAGTCTGTTCCCATCGCTGGTATTATCATAACAATAAGACAAAGGATAAGAAAACTTTTGTAAACCATGTACAGCCGTAGTTCAACTTGAACAATAGCAATTTGAATTTTCAAAATATTTACACACTCAATATATGACATTTAAAGACTACCAAAATATGTTGTTGTTTTTTTTACTAAACTGTAGATGAATGTAAATGTCAGAGACACCTGATATGTGTCAAGGCACCACTATTTTGTCGCATAACAATATATCAATACAGTAGGTTACTTATGTATCAGGTTAAATACATTCAACTGTATTACTTTCATTGGCAGTAAATCAAGTTGAAAGGTTACATTTATTCTATGTTGAGATCAAATTTCTCTGCCTCTTCTATCTCCATGTTGAAATGTGTGGCCCATTCATCAATTTTTGAAACCTGAACAAAAATGTAAATAAATTTTTAAAAAATCAATCATTTCATTATACTAGTTATATACTACGTTAAAATCAATAGTCTTACTTTTTTTTTGTCTCAGTAATGAAATTCTCAATGTTGACAGGAAAACGTTTTTTTCTGACTCAACAATGTTTTCATTGTCTGTGCTTTAGAACTTTTTTTTTAACAAATTACATTTTTTAATTGTTGTCAATTTTATTTAGAATTGTTTCCCTTCATTAAACATTTTTGTCTTTCAGTGGGTTTATACAGCAAACAAAGTGTTTAAAAGTAGCTGTGTTTCATTGTCTTTTCAGGGTTTTTTTTCATTGATAGAATAGATATTTGTTTTTCTACGCTATTTATTCAATTTCTTAAACATTTTGGAAAATATTTTTTCCCCCATTTAAAATAACTAAAACTACTTGGAATTTAAAACACTATGTCAACCGAATTTTGGAAGAAAAAAAACATTCCTACCAGCTTTGATTTATGAGTGGTTACTTTCACTTATTATGTCCAGATACAAGTTTAATAAAGCACCACCTCGTAATGGTATATTTTTTTATCGTATAATTTTTAAAAATATTTTATTTTATATCAGCAAAACCTTTTAGACCATCAAAACAAAAAGGAAACCATATGAATTTATGTAATTTTATTTTTTGAAAAAAAAAAAAAAAAAAAAATCTTATTTACTGTTAAGTGACTTGTGCAATGGAACAAAGAACTTTACACTACTGGTCCTGTCAAGGCTCTTTTTCTTCTCTAATATTCGTATGTGTACTTCAATGCTGATTACTAAATGTACCCAAGTCCTGGGCAATACCGTAACGACACATATAACGACAGAATAAAGATTCAGAATGCCAATTCACAGAAATATAACATGTTTTTTACATTTACTGTACTATAATACTGGCTCAGTTCAGACAAATGAATCCAGTATCAATTAAAGTATAACAGCTTAATATCCCATAGACTGAATAATGACTAAACAGAAAATAATTAGAGTCTACACTTCAACTCTATCTATATCCAAAAGTCCAATTGTCCTGGACTAGGAACAAAACCACACTACTTTATTATGAGTTACATTCCATCTCACCAAGTAAAACAATCCAAAATAAAAACAGTTTTGAAGTCAACAACCTGAATAATTGCCCCTCTTCTCCTCTACAGTTAACAGGAGACCCAGGCTGACCAGAACTCAGTCCTGACAGGTCCCCACAACAACTTTCCAGAGTCAGCATTTGCAAAAGTGATAATTTTGTAATATGAAATGTGGACATTCAAGATTTTAAATTAAAATGCACATATTTGTCTGAATACACTGAAAGACAGACACTGCTTTTGTTGTGGATAAACATACTAGTTCTCAGAATCTTGTATTTATTTTAGAAGTAAAAGTCTAATTTTCTTATATGTTCTCTAAGAATTATGTAAAAATAGAAGGTAAAACTACTCACAGATATTCGTTTTTTAAATTTCCTGTTTGAAGGTTTGTAGGTTTTACTGGAACTTTTATTTACTTCCAAGCATTCTATTGTCAACAAAAAAAAATAAAAAAATTAGTTTATTAGTGCAAATATCACTTTTTTTTAAAACTTCAAAAGTAAATCAGCATTAAACAGGGAATAAAGCACGAAACAAAAACAACTAAAGAGAAGTAGACAAGAAAAAAAAAAAATCCAGTGGAAGAAGGACCTCACAATGGGAGAGTCCTTCTTCTAGCCAGCGTTTTGCTGCTGAGCTGTAAACTCTGTCCAAGGAAACATTAAAGTTGTTTTTTTATCTGTAGTACCACACTGCCATACTTATGAAGGGTTGTAGTGGTAATAGGGTTTGTCTACTTAAGGTGAATTAAACTGGGGCATTCAAAGAAGGGATGATTGACAGGGGAAGAGTCCCTTAAGATAGAAGTCACAGAAACAGAAAAGTTGTCAAGCATAACATTTTTATAGTCCACCAAGAGTTGAGATAAAAGATGATTGAAGGTAAAAAGAATTTACTATCTTGCTGATTGGTCTCAGTCAATGGGAAGCGTGGTCGAGAAGCTAAGTATGCTTGAATGCCTATGAAGGGGGCTCGAGGTTCGAAACCCAACTCAAGCAGAGTTGTGTTTACTGAGCACCTAAAAACAGCATGGAAAATCTTCTCCCAGATACCTCCTCCCT